GTCGGAACCTGCCACTAATTTTCGCTCACGTTCTTTCTGATGTCACTCCCCAAGTGGCACAGCACAGCGCATCGATCCATTACGATGTGTTGAGTGTTTATGTAGTTTTGCTCGCTCTCCATATCCGATAGACCCAACAGTGATTAATAGCAATCCTTTACCCAGTGTGAACTCTGCCAAATATCCTGATGTAACCACAAATAGCAATCTTCATTGGTCAATCCACATCCACAATTGCATTGGTAAACTGCGACGCCTTTCATTTCAAGTACGAAAGCTCAGGCAGTTTCGCCCATCCCAGTCAGTTATTTCTACTTTTGTTTATCAATGGATTTTCCCCATCTTACTCTACTGTTGCCCGGTTATTTTTCCTGGTTTACTCAAACAGGATTTCGAAGACTTACATCGCGGTCTAATCATTATTAGTCGAGTCTCTTCCATTCTTCTGAACGAATTAGCTGTAGAGCTTTCAGAGTATCACGTAACTTCCTGTGTGAAATTTGCCGAGAGGATTCTCACAGATCCCGACCAACTATTGCATGCAGAACTGACACTTTGTAGTTCCCATCATTCAACACGCTTCATCTCGAATTAATGCATACCGCAATTCACTCATACCTTATCTTGCTCGTCTACTCATAAACAAAGAGCGGAAAATGAGTAAACTTTGTTTTAACCTTTGGATTATGAAATGTCCTCATGCTTGTAAACACTTTTCTCCCCGTTGATTATGTACATTGTGACGGTTAGCGTGTATGATTTTTTAACTGAAATGTGAGTTCCAGTGCTTGCAACAGTTGTACACAATACAATACAATAATTAGGATATACATCAACTACATTTATTAATTAACAGTAATTTAACTTTAAAATGAATTCATAATATTCGTTCAACACAAGACGACTTGTGTGGGGTAGAATTGATATTAACCACGAATTTCGCGTGCTCTCATCCAGCTGTAAATGCACATTTATATGATCATGTAAAACGCACAAACATAAGAGTGGAAATGAGTCAGTTGAACAAGGCGGTAGACCAGTGAGTTGCGGGATTCGCGTTTGGTTATGGGCTGCGGTCAAGTTAGATGACAAAATGTGATATTTCCAATAGCAATTTTGCTCACAAATGTCTTCTTGTGTTGATGAAATGGATAAAAGAAAAAGGATGTTTTACAAACAATATTTATTTTTTTCTGTTTGAAGACTCATTTTCATTCCTAAGCCAATCAAAGTGCTTGTATTTTTAGATCAAACTTCCCTAATTTTTCAGTCAGTCAGTCAGTTTATCAGATCCATCCTTGATCTGGTATTTTCGCCGAGACAATCAGATACGATCAAGATTGACTTTCTTCCACCGATTGCATCTAAAGATCACTCCGTTCTGCGTATAAACCAGAGGCTTGGCGTACCCCAAACGGACAGACCACAGAACGGACGGAATGTGTGGCGCTCATCCTTTCCGGATATGCGTCAGGCTGCGTCGCTCACAAATTGGGATTCCCGGAACCCTGGGGATGTGGATGTATCCTGGGTGTTGGTTCGTCATAGAATCCAGCAACTNCGCTATTGGCCCGCCGTTGTTTGACCGAGAACTGCGTGCGTTCCTCCGGCAGCGGAATGAAGCCTGGTCCAGGTACCGTGCAACATGCGCAGGATATGAGGAATATCGATGTATTCGGAATCATTGTACTGCACTAAAAGAATGCAAGAGAACCAGATTCGAGAAACAACTAGCAGCGGATACAGCACAAGCCCCAAAGCGATCGTATGCCTACCTCAGGCGAAGAATCAGAGCAACGCCTGATCTCCCGACTCTCGACAAAGATGGGGCACTAGTCGAAAAAGATGAGGACAAAGCGGAGATGCTGGCATCACATTATGCCTCAATGTACACCATAGACTCTAGCACACTGGCACATCTACTGGACATTGACACTGCGCTGAACTGGACCCCATTTACAATCGGAGAGGTGGCCCTGGAGCTGCGTCGACCAAAGGTTCACCAGTCACCTGGACCTGATGGTGTGCATCCGCCTATCCTGAAGGAGCTGGCAGATGAACTTGCATCGCCAATGTGAAAACTGTTCAATTTGTCATTCACTCAAGGGCGTTTACCGCGGCAGTGGAAGGACGCTTCATTGTTCCACTGCCCGAAGTTGGGGATAGGAGTGACTCTGGGAAATACCGATCAGTCAGCTTTACTGGCGTTGAGGGTAAAGTAATGGAGCGACTGGTGACTGCACGGCTTCGGCAGCATTTGGTGTGCCACGGTCACCCATGCCACCAACAACACNGCACATTTATATGATCATGTAAAACGCACAAACATAAGAGTGGAAATGAGTCAGTTGAACAAGGTGGTAGACCAGTGAGTTGCGGGATTCGCGTTTGGTTATGGGTTGCGGTCAAGTTAGATGACAAAATGTGATATTTCCAATAGCAATTTTGCTCACAAATGTCTTCTTGTGTTGATTAAATGGATAAAAGGGAAAAGGATGTTTCCGGTCGCTCATGCCTCTCAAACCTGCTGCTTGCGCGTGAATGCTGCACCGGGGACAAAGTAAAAGGACACGAAACGGACATCATCTTCGTGGACTTCAGCAAGGCCTTCGACAAGGTGCTGCA